CACCACCTAGATAAGCACGCTGGCTCTACATAGTTTGTACCTCATGGCTTGCACCAAATAGCTCACTGCACCAAACAGCTCACACCACGCAGACCACACCGCAAGGATTGCATCACACAGATAGCACCACATAGCCCACACCCCATAAATCGCACCACATATATTGCACCACGTATATTGCACCGCATAGCTTGCACCACATAGCTTGCACCACCTAGCTCACACAACATAGCTTGCTCCACATAGATTGCACCACGTAGATGGCATCACCTAGTATTCTAGGAACCGCTGGTTGAAGCCCTCGAAGGCTAACATGTTGCTTGGATTGAAGACCCGATGGCGAAAATTGCCAGCCTCCCGACTGATAGGAAGAAACTCCACCATGCCAACACGGGCCGAAGGAGCAGTGGAAGGAGAGAGAGAGAGGGATAGAGGGAGGAACAAGTTGCGAGATGCCCAATGCGGCGGACTAGCGGCTGACCTGAGACGCGAGCACCGTGCGCGGGCGGCCCGTACCTCGAAGATCCTCGTCCTGAACGACCCGCAACGCTGCGCACAGGCGGCGCGCAGCTCTGGTGCGAGCGAAGATCAGGCCGCAGACGCGCCGCCGGCGCGCCGAACAAAGCCGCCCGCCGCGCCGCAGCGACGGCCCCGGCAGACTCGCGGGGGCAGGAAGTTGTAAAAGCCGCCCAGGTGGGATCGGGGAGACCAGGCTGGCGAGGAGGTTCCCAGCGAACGCAGGCTATTGATCGTCATCGAGGCGCTACGCAACGACATCAGAACATGGAACCTGGTCTCCAAGTGGGTGAACACACTGCAGATGTTGACCGATTGTCTGACCACGGGCGACGCCCGGGGCGGCTGACTACATGCGTTACGTGCTGAAAGCGGGCCACTACAGGCTTGCCGAGGACCCTAAGGCCGACCGGACGATCGCCCAGATGAGGTACCAGCTGAAGGGCGAGCGTGGCGAGCACTACAGAGCCAAGTATCCCAAGCGAGTGAGACCGTCGCAGCAGCACTGCGTCACGGAGGGCTATACCTACTACGACAACGCGTTGGCTGACGTACGATACGGAGCTGAAATGGCCAAGATTGGAACCAAGTGGAATCTCAAGTGGCGCATGGTGGTCGTTCAGACGGCGGACGACACATGCTTCCACACGATAGAAGACATGGTCGACTGGCACGGTCTTGGAGTTACGCGGAGACGGCACAAGATCCCTGAGGTGATCCAGAAGCTGATGACGATCTATGCCCCCACGACGGAGGCACTCACGAGTTGGCGCGACGACTCCGTGCAGGGACACACTCTCCTGGACGACATCGACACGTGATTGAACATCAACGACCCCAGCGTCGAGAACCTCGAGCGGCAGGCGCTGACGCTTCAGGCGGAACATGCAGCGGCAGAGGATCACGCCGACTACCACGAGGCCTACATGATGGAGGACGGCACCCACTCGGTGTTCCTTTTTTTTGTGGAAGAGCAGGAGATGGGAGCGGACGGCGATACTATACACGACTCATGTGCGTCGCAAGGCTGTCCTGCGAACGTGGCCGAAACTCCGGCCGAGGATTCAAACAAAAACGAGTTCGGGTCACACCACGATTCAATTGCTGCTTACTGTAGGCGCCGGCTGGGGTGGACAGATCCTGCCCCCCTGGACAGACAGACGCAAACAAAAGGAGCTACCTGTGACAATGACTGACTGCCCGGGCGAGCGGGCGAGGAGGAGGAGGAACACGAAGGGGAGGAAGGGACTGGCTGCAGCAACAGCAGCGATGACAGTATGTGCAGTATGCCGTATGGCGGTGGACCAGTGTGAGCGTTCACCACGAGTCCGCAAGGCAGTCAAGCATCAAGAATCTGAACACTCGGCATCGTTATGTCCGGGAGATGGCAAGACAATTCTGGTGGATCCAACAATCGTCTACAACGGCAAGGGGGACGGACGAGGATGGTTGTGCAAAGGAGCGGGCGACGAGATCTCTAGCCCAGCTAAAGGCAAAGGCAAAGCTAAGGGCGTGGCAAGCCCCTCCTCTCCTACGAGCTCGGCGTCTTCAAGCACCGATGCAGGGAACGGCAACGGCTCCGAACCAGGCCTACGATAAGACCAAGGACGTCAAATATCGGATCTCCGACAAGAAGACGCTCTACGACAAGCACACGGTCAAGTAGACGGAGAAGGAGCCGATCCTGGACCCAGCTACCTGCGAGCATCGACCTGAGTGGATCACGACTCAGGGCAGCAACCGGTACAAGGAGAAGGTGAAGTGCAGGGCGTGCTTCCAAGTGCTGAAGGAACAGGACACAACCCAGTGGGCGGAGGAGAAGCAGCAGCGTGCCGAGGCCAAGAAGCGTTGTGCCAAGCCCAGATCGCCTGGGAAGTCCAAACCCAGGATCCAGGGATCGGGGTAGACCTAGGATTGAGCTTTGAACGCAGTGGCGCCGCATTCTTTTGAACAGCCGAGATTCGACCGGCTGAACCTTTCTTCAGCAATGTAGCGGGCCTCGCTGCGAATCGACACGCAGGCCCGAGCGCGCACCTTAGAGCTGAAAAAGCTGGAAAATACAGACCTGTGTGATTCGAAGTACTTGTGTATGCTGTTGCTTGCACGTGCAGCTCATGATGCATGTTAAGAGCGTTTCTGATCAAACCGTTTGGGCACCTCGAGCCATGGTGAGGCAAAGTGCCCTCTCCTAATCATGCGCCTCCCTGGCGGCGGCGGTAGCGAGAGGACGGCAGGCACGGCAGTGATCTCAAGATCCTCTCGGTACCCAGGGACCCCGTGGGCATCATGTGAAATTTCGAAGAGTATCTCGGGGGCTCGCAAACATGGATTAGCAATCCATGGATTTGGCGCGCGGTCGCCAAATCCATGGATTGGGGGAGGTGCCCTCCCCAAAATGCGGCTGGTGCCGCCTCGCTCGGCGGCGGAAATCCGCGACTTCCCGTGGAAACGGGAGCCGTCGCTAATCCACGCCCCCTTGATCCATGTTTGCGATCGCTTGAGTATCGATCGGGGATGGACAGACCCCCCTTTAGTAAAACGTGGTTCAGTGAAAACGACCTGAGGCCCACACCTGGCGGGCGCACGCCTGGAAAGTAGCGGCCACGGCCGCTGCTCTCGAGAACCGAAGACGGACAATTCACTCATCGACGTGTCACTGTTGGGGCTTCTGCCCACCCCCGGATATCGAGGGGGGACCTCAGGATCTGGGGCCCCTGCGGCGCCGAAGCTCCCCCCGAACGCCGGCCACGGCATCCCCACTGCGGCGGAGGGCGGCCGATGCTTCGGGCAGCGCCCGCACGAACGACCGCCGCGGCCCTCGTGGAAGAGGCGCGCCGCCAAGGGATGCCTCCGACGGCCCCTGAGCGACTGGCCTCCGCGGCTGGGCTCGCAGGCGGCGCGACTGGGCCCCCCCAGGGCGGCTCCAGAGCGGGGACAGGGACTCGTCCCTGCTCGGGTCGGCAGAGTAGCCACGTCCCATCGGGGGGGGCGAGAGCCGGCAACGCGATGGGCTCCCGCCCTCCCTGGGTCCCCGCATCTGGCCCAGATCGGCGCCGTTCCCCCCGGGTTGACGGCTCAGCGTCCCGAGTATGGAGCTCGGCCAGGGCTCCCGCCAACGGCAGGTGCAAGATTGATCAGATCCTAGCCTTGGTCGGCTCCCCCGTCAACCCAGCCAGCAAGAGGAGCTGCCTGCCGCCTGGCCAGGAAACGCTGGAGGGCTTGCGCCCACGGGGCGGAGGGTGCTGCAGACGAGAGCGCGGAGAGGCGGAGGAGGATGCCGAACAATTCGGAGCTGGAGGTGGAGGCGAATCAGCAGGATAATAAAAAGCAGGAGCAGGCGGAGCAAGGGCAGGACGAAGGGAGAAAGGAAGAGCGACAGGAGGCAAGATGACAATGGGCATGGTGAAGGAGGAGGAGGTTGACCAGTGTAAACCCAAGAGTCACCAACGATGTTGGAATAAACACTCCCTCCAAGATCCCTCCTCATAGGCCCATACAACGGTTCATTTCCACTGAAGGAACTGCCTCGTTGGAAGACAACCGTTCGGGGACCCTGAAGTATGCCCAGACATTGTTCTCGGGACTCCAACGCCACGGATCAACCTGATTATTGCGTCTTGACGATCCCGGAGCCGTGCCAGAACGCCATTCCTGGGACTCCAACACTGCGAATCAACGTATCTGTGGCGCCCTGATATTCCTGAATCTCTCCAGAAGACCATTTCTGGTACGTTGGATTCTGGGAACAAGTGAAAGGCTTCTCAGCTTTTAACACGAATGCGCACGGCGCTGAGGCGAGGTCCACACCTTGAAACCGACCCGCCCTCAATCCGCAAAACTATTTCAATGGTAAAAACGAATGCGCGCAGCGCTTAGGGCGGGAGCCACATGTTGAAAAAAGTGAGAGAGCCAAACTCTGAAAGCCACCCGCCCTCCACCCGTGAAACGATTGTACTCCAGATTTCGTCATAAAGGGAGGGGGGTCTCCTTTCGGGGGGGGTCTCTTCCAGGCTATCTTGGAGGGCCTGGGGGGGTCTGGGGACGGTGTTTTGGAGGGTTCTCCCACGGGGGGGGTCTGAAATGGCTTGTCTTGGAGGGTCCAGACCCCCTCCCAAAAATTACGAGATCTGGAGTAACCTTTTAAGCTTCAGGGTCATAGTTGGTGAGGACGTCTCAGGCGAAACGCCCGGCCCGCCCCAAAAGCAGGCCTCGGGGTGCGGCAGGGAGAAGTGATGCATGAGGAAAGGCACTGAGGAGGGGGTGACATGTAAGGGGGGTGCAGAGGGAGAAATCATGCAGGACGAGGGCGAGCACGCGAGGGAGATGGGGGAGGAAGAGGCGGTGGGAGCACGGGGCGGGGGAGGAGGAAAGCGGGAGGACTGGGGGGAAACCGCAGGTTATGACTCCGCACCTCCGCGCCATCTGCCAGCCCGTCTCGGTCCCCAACGGGGCGGGGGCAAGCGCCACCCACCAGCACGCGCGTCCTGCTCGTCGCCCTCGGCGGGAGGGAGCTCCTGCTGCGCGTCCCGGTAGTAGCCGAGGCCGCTGTCGCCCGTCGAGAAGTAGTAGCCCTGCCTTCGGGGGTCACCCTCGTCGTTGCCGCCGCCACCGCCGCGGTCAGCATCGTCGTCGTCGTCGCCGTCGTCGTTGCTGTCGCCGCCGCCGCCGCCGTCGTCCCCACACGACAGGCTGGAGCTCTTAGACTCGCTCGGAGGAGCTCCAGACCTGGTCGCCCGCCCCGCATGCCGCGGCCGACAGCCCTTCAGTATTCCACAGTGTCCCAGGTGGGCCGCCTCATGCCGCAGCCGCCACGGCAGGCCCCAAGGGCCCCAGAGCGTCCCTAGGATCCCGCCTCGCCCTCTCCACGAGGAATGACGATCGAGCCGATCCCGCACGCCGCGGCCGCCAGGCCCCAATTGCCCCCCCCGTGGTCCCCAGTATCCCGCCACGCGTCCTCGACAAATGAGCGACGACCAAAGCCAGGTCTCACGCGAGATGACGTGGCGACCTTACGCGGTGGCGGTGGCTTACGCGGCCCGCCTGCGCGGCACGCCACATTGGAAACGAGGGTGCTTACGCGTGACCTGACGCGAGGAGCTTACGCGCGAATGTCGGCGCAACCGAACCCTTCTTGTTGCGTCGCTCAAATGGCAACGGGACGGAAGACAACACCGAATGAAAGGCACGAGAAACACACATAAGCAGAGATAACGTACATGACATCGGTAACAGATGCGAAATGTTTGACACCCGCATGGAAACATGAACAACCAACATACAGGTCTGATGCGCACATGCAGGACATTGGTACAAAACAGAAGTACCTGGCATGCATGATATCTGCGACGAACAAACCCACAACCATACAGTAGACACGTACGGGCGGAACCACTGATATGATAGATTTAGCGGCATATTTTTCGATCAGGTGTGAGGGTCCGGAGGTGCCCCAGACCTTCTGTGGCCCCCGAAGTCATCGGGGAAGGTGAGACTTCTACGGCACCTGCCGGCAGGCCGGTGTCTTATGTAACGTGCCTAATGATGCGCGTGCGCAGAAGGACGATGTATCGTATGCGCTAATAGAAGGTCTGCGGAACAGAACGATGCACACGAAGAGCAGCATAAGCTTCATGTACACCTTGCATGCGTTCGTACATAACTTACTTATTTGATAGCATACACATCACATGCCTCACTGCGTTTGGACACATTACATACCGTACAAATGCCAATTAACGCACGCTTCGGTAAAACGATCATCGGCATAACGGAAGAGGCATAACAACACACACACATGCGTACCTCCCACACGTAAAGGGCGCGCGTAAGCAACACACCGACGCATACACACTATACCACATACCAACGACATGCACGGCATTGTTGGCCATACAGACCAAACGAGACGATGCGCGCGACAAACATCTATATACATGGCACGCGTAAAGACTACACTTCATGAACATGGGCAGCGCACATACTTAACGAGTTGTCAAGCCGACAATAAGCTACTAATAGGCGCTGGCAATTCGATACGAAACGCTGTCATGCCATCTATACGACAACACGTTACTACACACAGACATGCTGGTCGTGTAAAACACGCGATGACGTGCATCACATGTAAGCGCAACACAAACACACATACTATGCAACGCGTCGACTACAATATCAAGCCAATGAGGCCGCCGCCGCCGTCGTCGTCGTTGCCCACGTCGTCTGTGCCCTCGCTGCTAGCGTGGTCGTCCGTCGTCCGATGCACGGGTTCGGTGAAACCGCCCTCCCGGCTTCGCCGTGAAGGCGTAACCACCGAGCCAACCAAGTCCCAGGATCGGTCAGGATTGGGGACGGCACAGGCAGACGGGTTTGCATCCCCCGGGCGCCTTTTCCCTCCGAAACTGCCAGCCTGCACAAAGTCCGGCACAGCATCGCGTATCATTGGCGCCGGCTTCTCTCGCAGGAACCTCGCAGACGGGCCGCCTCGTCCTCTTCGCCCTACCCCCCCCCGCCCCCGCCCTCCTCATCCTGCTTCTACCCCTCTTCCTCTCCTGCTCCTCCCCCCCTCCTCCCCGTACCTCCGTGCTCAACCCCCTCCTCTGCCTTGCCATCCCCGTCCCGTCCTCCTCCTCCTCCTCCTCCTCGCCATCCCTCTCCCTCTCCTCCTCCGCCTTCTCCTCTTCTTCTTCTTCTTCATCATCATCATCATCATCACCATCATCATCATCATCATCATCATCATCATCATCATCATCATCAGCATCATCATCATCATCATCATCATCATCATCATCATCATCATCATCATCATCATCAGCATCATCATCCTCATCCTCATCCTCAGCATCATCATCATCATCATCATCATCAGCAGCATCATTATCATCATCATCATCATTATCATCAGCACTACCATCATCATCATCATCATCAGAATCATCATCATCATCATCATCATCATCAACATCAGCATGATCATCACCATCACCATCATCCTCATCCTCATCCTCATCCTCATCCTCGCCCTCATCCTCCTCCTCCTCCTCATCATCATCATCTTCATCATCATCATCATAATCAGCATCAGCATCAACATCAGCATCAGCAGCATCATCATCATCATCCTTCCCCGCCTCGCCACCCTCCTCCCATCTTCCTCCTTCTCCTCCTCCTCCTCCTCCGCCTCCTCCTCCGCCTCCTCCTCCTCCTTCTCCCCGCTGTCCTCTGCCTCCTCCAGTCCTCCTCCTCCACCTGCACTTCCCTCCGTCCTCCGCCCCCCCCCCCCCTCGCCCCTTCCCCCCTTCCCAAAAAGGACCTGACGGCCTCCTCCCTGCCGTCCGGGTGGGTGTACAGGCGCCCCTCCTCCGGCGCTGGCGCCGCCTTGCTGGGCGTCTCCAGGGTCGGGAGCGCGAAGGCCTCTGGCACGGAAGCCGATCGAGGAGCCGCCCCGAGGGGCACGGGCCCGGGGGGGAGCAAAAAAGCACACATCTCCGACGACATGATTTTTCCAGCCCGGGCGTCCTTCTTGACCTGGAGCTCTAGGGCCCGATATCGGGCACCGAGGCGTTCAACAACGGGCCCGGGACCTCTGGGGCGGCGGACTGGAAAACAACACATCGTCGGACGTCTGGGGATACCCATACCGCATCTCCACGGACCACGGACCTCTCCAGGGGTGCGTTGTGATAAGGATGTCGATGCGGATGCAGCCGTGGCGACATCGGAGGGGCAGCGGCATCGGTATCTCATCGTCCTCTGGGAGCAAGGCCCCAGGGGCCCCCCCCCCCCCGAGCGTCCCCCCCCCCCCGAGCGTCTCCACCCACCGAGCGCCCCCTTGTGAGGAGAAGCAGCAACCACAGCCCGTCCAGCATGGTGCGAGAAAGGGGTGGCGGAGAAGCAAGACAGAAAGCAGCCAGGGACGGACGCAAGACACCAGGATCGATAATCTGAAACAGTCCATCCCTAATGAAAAAATGTGTGTTCCAGTGCATCGCCCTATCTGCACACAGCAGGCTCGAGGAGGCATGGCGTGCTCGAGGGAACACCAGAACACCACATGCTCGAGGCTCGACGCTGACGGCGCTCGCCAGGGCGAGGGCGCGGGGGGTCATGGGAGGGTGTCGAGCCCTCTCTGGCACAGTGTGCTGTCGATGTCGGACTTCGCGGGAGGCCTGTAAACTCGGCTGGTTGCCTGGGGTCGTCGGGGAACAAGACATCTCCGTGGCACCTGCTGGCAGGCTGGTGCCTCACTGCGGATCCGTGGATCTGGCGCGTGGGCACCGGGCGCCAAATCGACGGATCGGGTGCCAAAAGGAACATGAAGCCGGTGCCGCCTAATTTGGGCGACGGGGCGTGCCGCTGCCCTGATTATGCAGGCGGGGCACGTCGCCATCCCACGCACCTGGTTCAATGCTGTCGTCGCCTCGACCCGGGGCCCCAGATCCGGCCGATAACTGGCGCGCTCCCCCAAGGCGCCGACCACAATAACTATCAACAGCATCGTGGGAATCGGCTGGTGCTTCGGCCAGCGCCCTCCTCCTCCTCCTCCTTTCTTGCGTTGCCCAGACGTGAACCGCAAGCTTGTCGCGTTCATCCTCCTCCTGCTCCTCCTCCTTCTCCTCCTCTTCCTCCTCCCCCTCCCCTATCGAGCCCCCTTATCCTCCTTCTCGCCAGCCGTGGGCGCACAGACATACACAACAGCAGTTGCGCAAAATGGGCTGGCGGACCAGGCGAAGCGATGCTGCATTAATCCACAGCGCCGAGAGCACCAGCTGGTGTCTCAACCAGCGCCCCCCTGTGCACCGTGAGGTGCGGGGGCCGCGTGAATGGGGGGGTGGGAGGGCCTCCGCTGTTGTTGCCGCTCGGACGGGTGAGCGCGGCCGCAGCCACACAGACGTCTGCATGAGGCCCCGCCTCCCTTTCGGGGCTCGTTCCCGTCCTTCTCCTTCCCTCCGTCTCCGTCCATCCATCTCTCTCTCTCTCTCTGTCTCTCTCTCTCTCTCTCTCTCTCTCGTTTCCACCTCCTTTCCTCTACCTTCCCATCCCTTTCCATCCCTTCCCGCTACTTCTCTCCCTCTCTCTCGTTCCCTCCCTCTCTACTCTTCTTCCCACTGTCTGTCTGTCTGTCTCTCTCTCTCTCACACTCTCTCTCTCTCTCTTTCTCCCTCCCTCTTTCTCTATCCTGTCTCTCTGTCTCTCCTTCTCTCTCATTTTCTCTCTCTCTCTCTCTCTGTCTCTCTCCCTCCCTTTCTCTCGCTCATTCTACTTTCCACCTCCTGTCTTTGTAACAGCATCGCGGCTCACGGGCGCGGGGCGAGCTTCCCTCCCGTTGGGCTTCTTGCACTTCGCTCTGCTTGTCAGCGCGCTGACCCCGTCGGCCGTATGTCCCCCCAAAGCCCCGTGGTTGCACGAGGAACGCTGGAGGAACACCAACGTAAGTAAGACGAGGCCAGGACGAGGATATATTCGTGCGAGGATAAGCCGAACATCTCTGAGATCCCACGGCTCTGGAGGATGCCTCGCGCGCCGCGGCCCTCTCAGAGCGTTCCGGAACGCCCTGAGAGCGTCCTGGAACGCTCAGGAACGGATTCATCCTCGTCCTGGCCCCGTCCGAGTATCGGGGAGACGTAAGACTCGGGTACGGTACGAGACCGATGTTGCATCACAGCAGCAATTCGGCCCCTGACTTTCGTCCTGGGTTCGGTTTAGTGAAGTGATGAATTTCGGGATCCTTACGTGGGAAAAAAACATCACTTCACTAATCTGGGGCCCCTGGGGCCTCAGTGGGCCCTGGGGCCCAAAATTAGTGAAGTGATGGTTTTCGGGCCTCGGATACGGGATCTCGGGATGGACTGACGGTGCAATCAAACGCATGACGAGACCCAATCTGAAATTTGACGCGAGCTCCCGCGACAAGCATCCCACGAAAACCGGACCCTCAAAATCCAGGACGCGCTCGTCAAAACATGCCCGTAAACCCCAATTCCGGCTTGCTCGAGTCTTACGTGTCCCCGAGAGTAGGCCGGCCTCAATTCGGCTGCACGTAAGAGCGACCCTGGGCAAGAGTGACCTTTGGTGCGCGGCTTCTTGGGGGGCGCGAGGGGGCCAAACACAGGTGCGCAGGGCGCTACTACCGCAACGAGCGCGGCGACCAGGGGACCCTTGTGAGCGCGCACCGAAGGTCACTCCGGCGAAGGGTCACTCTTATACGTGTAGTCGACTCACTCTTGTGCCGGCTGGCCCCCCTCGCGGGCCCCGAGCGGCCCGCACGCTGTCCTCCCGCGAGCTGGGCGTTCGCGAAAGGCCCGTGCCGAGGCCGCCGCTCGCCCCGTGGGCGCCCCCGTCGGGCCAGGGCGGCTCGGCTGCCCCCGCTCCGCAGTGAGCCTGCAGGAGCAGCGAGCCCCTGCCGCACCCGAGAGGCTCTCCCTGCCTCGGCGCGTCGGCACGCGCGCGCGCCGGCACCGGCCGACCCCCGAAGTCGCCGAGGCCGACGGGATGCACCGCAGTCCGCTCTAAGATTGGCTCGTGCCCACGAGCGGCTGAGAAACCATACAGTCGGGGCGTTGACTTAAGGAACGATAAATAAGGAACGAAGCCCCTTCTTCTCAAGGGAGTAACGCATAAAGAACGATACATGATACATACAAAAACATTATCCCGGCAAAGCAACCTCACAGCGATGTGTAGAAGCATATCTGAAAGCATTCCCCTTAAGATTCAGATGAAAATCCAGTTGTAGAATTCTGCTGTTCTCGCAGTCGTAGTCGCATTCGCGATGACAGTCGCAGCGGCAACGCAGTCACAGTCGCAGGCAGCCTCATGCCTCAGCCTCAGCCTCAGCCTCAGCCTCAGCCTCAGCCTCAGCCTCAGCCTCAGCCTCAGCCTCAGCCTGCCTCAGCCTCAGCCTCAGCCTGCCTCAGCCTCAGCCTCAGCCTCAGCCTCAGCCTCAGCCTCAGCCTCAGCCTCAGCCTCAGCCTCAGCCTGCCTCAGCCTCAGCCTCATCAGCCTCAGCCTCAGCCTCAGCCTGCCTCAGCATCAGCCTGCCTCAGCCTCAGCCTCAGCCTGCCTCAGCCTCGGCCTCAGTCTGCTTCAGCCTCAGCCTCAGTCTGCCTTCAGCCTCGGCCTCAGCCTCAGCCTGCCTCAGCCCCAGCCTGCCTCGACCGCAGCATCAGCCTGCCTCAGCATTCAAAATGTGGCCCAGGAAAGGGAGTTCTGGGAAGTCGAAGAGCACGAAGTTGCCTACAGTTGGCTACGGGCATTCAAAATGTGGCCCGGGAATGGAGTTCTGGGAACTCGAAGAGCACGAAGTGGCCTACAGTTGGCTCCGGGCATCAAAATGTGGCCCGGGAATGGAGTTCTGGGAATCGAAGAGCACGAAGTGGCCTACAGTTGGCTCCGGGCATTCAAAATGTGGCCCGGGAATGGAGTTCTGGGAACTCGAAGAGCACGAAGTGGCCTACAGTTGGCTCCGGGCATTCAAAATGTGGCCCGGGAATGGAGTTCTGGGGAGTCGAAGAGCACGAAGTGGCCTACAGTTGGCTCCGGGCATTCAGAATGTGGCCCGGGAATGGAGTTCTGGGAGGTCGAAGAGCACGAAGTGTGTGACTGTTGGCTTAAAACGACTTCTGCGGCACCCTGTCCGGCACCCGCCCAGACCCCCCTGTGGAGTCATCTGCTGCTCTCTTTTGAGCCCACTAGAAACCTATCAGTCTTCGCTGTTAGGTAATGAAGAACAACAAATAACGCATGCGAACCTAAGGAACGGCCGAGCCCCATTTGAAAAGTAAGTGTTCCCTGCTCAAGCCGCTCACTGTACAGGAGCAGCACTGCGCTGGCACGCGGAGGATCTGCGCGCCGACGGGCGACATCATCATCGCACCGCCAACCTTTTTCTCGACGTCGGCGTACCTCCGGCGTCGCGAGTGCCTCCACGACGCCGCGGGCCGCATGAACTCTCGATCCCCACCCCCTTGGCAGGAGAGCCGAACATCGAATCGAGCAGGCGGATCGGCGATCGAAATGGATCGGACCGGCGGAAATCGGCAGCCGAGTCGGGACAAATCGAATCGTTGGAAATCGGCAGGCCAGTAGGCCTCCATTGAGACATCGGCGTCCAGATCGGAACCCCAAGTCGAATCGGAATCGGAATCGGAATCCGTCGCAAATCGCGTCGGATCGAGCCTACGGAATCAAAAGACGCCCTGCCTGGGCTCGCTCCCTCGCCCAGCGCCTTCGGCCCAGGGTCGGCCTGGCCAGGATCGGTGTGCGCGTGTGCAGCTGCTGTCCCCCGGGCTGCCCCCCCCGGTCGTGGAACCCGCGCTGCCGACTCGGGGGCGGCCAGGAGGGGGGCGTCGAAGCGGGGGGGGGCGCATCATGGCTGGCGGCATGTGCGCGGCCCAGGGGGGGTGCCGGGGACG